ATATGATACTTTACAGACAAGATTTATTGATCCTGAGCTATATAAAAAATATAGACAGGGAAGGTGATACAGGCCTATAATTCCAGCACTCAGGAAGCTGAGGTGGGAGAATTTTGAGCCTAAAGCCTTTCTGAGCTATATAGGGTGATCATCTCAAATATTACACTCCAAAGTTGGGTGTGGTTGCTCATTCCTGTATACCCAGCATTCAGGAAACTGAAGCAGGAAGACTATAAAGTTTGAAGTCAGCCTGGGCTATTTAGCCTGTTCCAGGTAAGCCTGGGCTACAGAACAAGATCCTGTCAAAAAAAGAAAAAAGGAAAAAAAGCAAAACGTGTTAAATGTCACAAATACAGTCAAGTTTGGTGGCACACCCCTCTAATCACAGTCCTTGGGACACTAACAAAGAAAGATAATAAAGTCAAGGCCAGCCTGGGATACATAGTGAATTAATTCAAAGTGAGCCTGAGTTACCTGAGGCTCTTTCAGAAAAAAAAAGTCCCAAACATTTGTGTAAGAATGCTAACTCATTACTCTTGATCATCTCTTTGTGACTCTTCCTAAAACTACACCCCCGCCTAGCCATTTCTTTTGGCATGGCCTGTCCATAAAGTGCAACATCTAAAAATTTTTTTAATTAAGGAATCACTGGTATATGAGAACAGCTTAATAAGTCAAAGGGCTGTTAATTCTGCCAAGCTCCAATGCTATTTCTTCCTTTGCTCCCTCTGTCTTCCACCAAGAAATGAGCTCTCTCCTTCTCTCTAATGTCACATACAATCATGCCCACCATCCAACTCTAAAGCTCTGAACTTTAGTACCTTATACAGCAGTAATTTCTCCTCTACATATTTCCCCTACATGTCTTGGAGCTGCTTGAGGTCAATATCCACCTGTGACTCACTCTGTGTATTTAACAGTCATCTGAACAAAGATTAGAACATAGTATGTGCACAGGTATTTACTGAATGAATGGTATTTGTTCCATGAACTATATATAGTCTACATTAAGTGTCTCGGGTTTCTGGGGCCATATAAGCAATGGGCCATATCATTTATACTGAACAATGCCTAGCCTTGGTGTTCAGCAAATATTCAGTAACATCAACAGGACTAAAACTGTCAACATAAAAAAGGAGAGACACAGGAATATAAATTAGTTGGAGAGGACTTGTCCAGCATGCACAAGGCCCTGTGTTCTATCCCCAGCACACATGTATGCACAGAGAGAGAGAGAGAGAGAGAGAGAGAGAGAGAGAGAGCAAAGGACCATAGAAAAGCAGACAATACAGTCTTCATCTTTCAGAGTGATGGTGCTTTATTTTCTATTAGTTTAAGTTATAATCATCATATGCTCTAAAAATTATAAATGCATCACATTTGAGGGAGGGATCAAGCACCCATCAAAGGGGGCAGGCGTTGGAACATCAATTACCTCTGAACACCAAACTAAGTAAACCTAAGTTTTTGTCCTAGTTTGCTTTCTGTTGCTGTGATAAAAAATACTGGACAGAGCAACCCAGGGAGGAAACAGTTTATTTCTGCTTATAATTCCCAGGTCACAATCCATCACTGAGGACAGGAACCTGGAGGCAGGAACTGAAGCAGAGGATAACGGAAAGGACACTGCTTTCTGGCTTGCTTATTTACGCCATCCAGTCAGTACCAACTGCCCAGAGGTGGCACTGCCCACAGTGGGCTGGGGCCTTCCATATAACAATCAAGAAAATACCCCTACAGACAATCTGATGGAGGCAATCCCTCAATTGTGTTTCCCTCTTCCCAGATGACTCTGGCTGGGTCACGTTGACCAAAAACTAACCAGCACAGTATTCAAACAGGCCCACATTTAACGCACTAATAGTCGAGCACGTTTGTTGCTTAAAGCCTTATCCAGAGCTCTGCGCAAAAATCACACAGTGGAATAAAGCACTGACATCAAGTTTCACCTGGGTTAGCAACCTGAAAGAAAATTACAGAGAGAGGAGTTTTGCAGCTACCATGCCATGTCTCAAGGTTTGCAAGAATGCTAGCCATTTGATTTAATACCCAAATCAGTTAAGTGTCAGTCATTGTCCTGCCTTTTATTGCCAGGTTCCAGATGCTAAGATGTATCCATGTGCATGAATACAAAACTCATCACCGAGTTGTGCCCAGATGAGTGAGCTTTTCCAACAAGATAACAAGGCAGAGGGCTGTTTATGTATTTCCTTTCTGACCTTTACTGAAAATTATACATTTATCAAGAGATGTATTAGTCACCAAAAGATAGACTAGCAACAATGTACTTGTTTTAATCATTTCCATTTTACAAAACACTTTTAGAATTAATCCCCTTAAGACTCACAACTACCCCGTGAGGTGGAAATTTTTACCACTATTATTATGGCAATGGCTTTATTAAAATTCCAGTATGATGGATGGAATGCAGGGCCTTGTACATGATAGGCAAACACTCTATCACTGAGCTACATGCCCAGCCCACCACCAATTTCATATTGTACAAATCTATTGGTGTACATTACCATAACGTTATCCAGTGTTAACTAAATTTGGGGTACTTTAATATTTCTCTCTCCTTAAAGATTTTTTTCTTAATTTTTGAATTACACTTCACAGTTGAAATGGTTTGTGCCAGATCCCAAAATGGGGAAGCCACAATTGTAACCCAAGTTGTTACCTTGTTAACCAAGTTGTACCTCAAAATCCAATCCCAGTGGGTTATTTTCATCTTTCCTTCACTTGGGTGGAGAACACACCTGTATTTTGCATCCACCCTATCTACCCTGAAAAAAGTGGCTGAGCTGTCACAGTGTGGAGAAGCGGTGTGGGGAGCAAACACTATTGTGCTACAGATAGTAGGAAGCAATTCCATGTTTGCCTTTAGCTACCCAGGTGTTTAAAACCTGTGGAGCTTAAAGAAAAGCAATAAGGCAAGGGTTAGTCATGGAGTTTTAATACCTCCCCATCCCATTTTGAGCTACACTGACTCTGAAACAGAAAATCAGCCCAAATATTCAAGAATTCCCTGTCCTAGAACAGCTTTTAGACTGCAGCCCATGCGCAAAGATCTGAGCCTACATGATTGCTCTATCTTCCCGCTCTTAGTCTCATAAATCCCGGAAAGAAGAGAACCCACTACTTGCCTCTTAATTTACAAAACATTTGCATGCTTATAAACCAGCACTTATAAACCAGCACTTGGAAAGCTAAGGCAGAAAGACCAGCAGCTCAAAGCCAGAACCACCTATAAATTAAGAGCCTGTTCCCCAAAACCAGGACCTATGTATGTAGCCAGTATATGCAAAGACCGGAATTCAGTCCCCAGAACTGGAGAAAAAAAAAATTGCCTTTCCCCAAAATGCTTCATTGAATCGATTTTTTTTTTTGACAAAGCTTAATCACTCAGATATGACTTAGCTGATCCTTTTTAGCACAATTTCAGCTTGCCATACACATTACAAAACTACCTCTTAACTAGCACTTTTATAATGGGCTTTCTTTTCCGGGGAATGCTACACCAAGCAGTTTGCAATAAGAAGAAATCTGCAATCCGAAGAGACCCCCTTTTCCTTTCAGAGTTCTCAAGTTTCCATTTCTGTGGCACAACCTCCATATCCTCAACCTCTCAATGAACTCTATCAAGAGAAGACACACCCAAAAGCCTGGCCCACAAGTCTGCAAGGATCAGCATTTCAAATAGTCCATCTTTTAGGTGCTAATGCAAGTTTACTATTCACCAGGTGACTGGACAACAAAGCACTAACTGATCAAACTCAATTAAAGAACTCGAAGGAACAGTTTACAGATTCTGCCCAACCACAAACAAGAACTGCTGCACGGGAAACGCTGGCTTGCTGCACTTCTTGTGGCTTCAAAGCTTTTAAGATTCTCCTCATTGTTGCTTGGCTGTAACAGCCTGCCACAAGGGGCCACATAACCTTGACATGGGATGGGGTGGGGGTAAATCCACTCCAAACAAAGTTAAAGGCATAGAGAGACTCCTTCACAACGACTTTACCCTTCACAGTTATCTTTCAGCCAAGGAGAGAAAAAAATAATTAATCATCACTCTACTTAATCATTACCCTCCGTTCTTCTGGGTATATATTTTGGCACAGAGGGTTGGCTTACTTATACTCTTGTTGGGGGTGTTTATTATTCTTTCTTTTTCTCTGAGCCTCCTGACAACCAGCAGAAATAAAAGCCTACACACAGAGGAGGAAAAAACAGTCCCACAAGTGAGGAAATCGTGACCACTGAAAAAGCAAAGCTTGGTAAGGTCCTTTCAGCGCAGCAACCCCACACCCTATTCCTATATTTTACACCCAGGGGATTTGGACCCCTTGGACCATGAACTTGACAGGTCTTTGTTCCACAGTGAATCAGAATTCAGTTGTATGTGAAGCCAACCAATAATCCTGAACTTGGACTAACTATGACATTAACAGTATATATATAAATATAAAAATCTCAGGGGAGGGCAAAGCTGCTCTCCTTAGAAACTGATTTGGGAAGGGTGATTTTTTTACTGCCCCACAATTTTCTGTAATAACCAGAGTCTAGGACAAAAATCATTATACTGGAGCTATTTGCCTTAATTCCCAATTCTTTAGGGGGTACTGGAGTAGGTCCTTGGTCAGCATGGAAGTCACCTTGTACCAGACAGGGGTGCTGGGCATGTCTGACTGGTTGGGTAGACTATCATTTTTCAATAAGGATCTGCTAAGTAAGAGTAACTGCAAAGCAAGAGGGTCCCTGTCCCAGCTACACATTAAGTCTTGGAAGGTCAGGGCCACTAAAGGGAAAGGCCAAAGTCCTGCTTGTCTGCACCACTTTCCACTATTACTGACCCCAGTCTCAAAGGTTTGGAAACCCATCAGACTCAGAGACCTGGGTTGAGAGTCACTGCAGATCCTCCCTTCTCCCTATGGTATGGAAAGGTTTAAAGGCCAGAACCACCTACTCAGAGAAACAGCTCAGAGAAGCCTTCCACTTACTCTTCATAGCGCTGATAAGCGCGCTGCCGTCTTTGATCACGTCTTTGATGAATTTATTGGTCCTCTCCAGCTCATGTTCATAACACTTGAGCCTCTCGCGGAAATCGGGGCTGTCGAGGTAGCAGTCGCTGAACTCCAGCGGGGGATGCCCCATGGTTACGATAGCTGAGGGACTAGGGGTTAGAGACAAAGAGCGAGAGCATCAGTGGCACAATCAGCAGAATAGACCTAGTGGCCTGCGTTCAGGAGCCACTTTTAGGCGACCCAGCCCCACTCCCTTTGGAGGACAGGTACCTGTTCCAATGAAACTCTTGGGAGCGCCCGCTGGTGTGTAGCAGGAGCGCGTAGTCCGGTGGTGGCTGCGGGTGACCGGGAATGCTTACCAACGCCTTCTGACGCCGGCAGGGTGCAGCCTAGCGAGCAGCACGCCCCCTGGTCATCGCCTCCCCGAAGCGCAGCGCTGAGTCCTGGGCGGCCCAGGGTGGAGGCGGGGAGAGCACGGGCGCGGGGGGCCGCCTCTCTGCTCTCCCAAGCCAGCCTTCGGCTTCCTTCCCCGGCTCCCCGAGCGGCGGACCGCGCCTCCCCTCCCCCTTCTTAAAGCCAATGCCACTGCTTCACGCTGGCCGAGCCCCAAGCCCGAGACCAACCGAGAACACGGACTCCCTTCGGCTATCTTCCTCGGGTCTTCGGGGCTCGTCGCCCACAATTCGGCAGCTGCGGAGACCGCCTACTCGTTCCTGGGAGCCAGCGGGCTGTCGGGTTTGGTGCTTAAAGGGTTAAACCCAGCGGCAAGGAAACGTAGCTTTCCTCCAACAACCCGGCAGCGGCAGCGGGAAGAGGAGGGCGACAGCGCTACGCACAATAGCTGTGGTAGCCTGGCGCTTCCCTACGGAAACTGGGGAGCAGTCAGCGCCCTAGGACTCCATCTGGAAAGCGTGGCGGCCTGGGAGATGTAGTCTTTCCGTTTGCACGTCCCATGACTCCACCCTGCAGTCTCCCACCACCCCTCCAGGGTGGCCACTCTCCCAGATCTACTTCCCTAAGCGTGCCCCAGGCACGGCCATCCTAGAGGGGCAGGTGTACCGCCCCGGCCCCCCGAGGGTGCGTGCAAAGTTTCCATAACTGCAACAGAAACTCAAAAGGATGGATGATGGGAGGCAGTCTCTCACCAGTATTTGGCTGGACTATCCTTTCTTTTATTTTTTTTTCACCCTTCCTCGGATCCACCAACACTTTCCCTCCTTTTCCTGTGTCTCCTAGTACAGTACAGACACTAATTCTCATTGGTACCTACTGTAGGATCTCTGTTAGACCCAGAACCCCCTGCTGAAGAACCAGAGGCCAATACTTCCAAGTAATTATGTTTGAACTAAAGGGTATACTGTGTGACTCACTGGACCACACTACAGCTTCCAGGATGAGAGTTTGTTTGTTTGTTTGTTTGTTTGTTTGTTTGGTGGTGGTGGTGGTGGTGGTTTGGTTTGGGGTTTTTTTTTTTTTTTTTTGGTTTCTTCGGGGTTTTTTGTTTTGTTTTGTTTTTAAATTTTGTTTTGGGGGCGGTTGCAAGGGCAGAGGGCAGAAGCAAGGGGACAAGGAGTTGAGTGGGATCAGGATACATGATGTGAAATCCACCAAGAATCAATGAAAAGATAAAAAGAAAAAAGAAAAAGAAACAAACCATAACTAGATTTGAACTTCTTCCTGAATAGGGCCTCCGAGAATGGTTTCTGCGACACATCAATACACAGGCTGATAACATCTGTTAATGGAGAACTCAAAAAGAGGTTACTAGAAATTATCTTGCAGTTTATCCAAAAGGCCTTATGTCCATTGTCTATTGTAGGGAAACCTGGGCTCCTTTTAAAGACAGCTCTCTAAGAATAGCTGCAATTGGGAAAACTGAGAAATAGTGTGCACTCAGGCAAAAAGATCCATTTTGATTTTGCAGCAATGTTTACATTAAATTACACCAATAAAAGCCAGAACAAAAAAGCTGAAAATTCAGTAATAACAGCTAACCTAACTATATTAATGTCTGGCTGCTTCAAATTACCACCAACTTGGTGGCTGAAATTAACATCAATGTACTATTTTATGGTTGTGGGAGCAAGAGTTAGAAAAGAGCATCACTAAGCTAAAGCCAGGGGTCAGAATGGCTATGTTCTTCTGGACTCTAGGTTCGAATCCTTTTCTTTGCTTTCTGCAGCTTCTAAAAGGTGCCCTCAAACTGTTAATTCTCAAAGCCAGCAATGGTCTGCTGTGGGATGGTCTGTATAGCAAATGTGTTGCTCTGATTGGTCAATAAATAAAACACTGATTGGTCATTGACTAGGCAGGAAGTATAGGCGGGACAAGGAGGAGAATAAAGCTGGGAAGTGGAAGGCTGAGTCAGAGAGACATTGCCAGCCACCATGATGAGAAACAGCATGTGAAGATGCCCGTAAGCCACAAGCCATGTGGCAAGGTATAGATTAATGGAAATGGATTAATTTAAGATATAAGAACAGTTAGCAAAAAGCCTGCCACGGCCATACAGTTTGTAACCAATATAAGTCTCTGTGTTTACTTGGTTGGGTCTGAGCTGCTGTGGGACTGGCAGGTGAGAGAGATTTGTCCTGACTGTGGGCCAGGCAGGAAAACTCAAGCTACAAATGGCGTCCAACGTGGTGGCAAGAGTTTCCACCTAAAAACTGAGAAAAAGACTCTAAAACGGAGCTAAAAACAGCTTCCTAATTGTCTCTCTCAAATGATCGGCAGCTGCCGGTTTGAGCTACTTGTGGGTTCCTGGTGTGTGCACTCAACCTGCAGTATGGCGGGAATGAGGCCTCGGCAAGTGGCACATTAAGCTGCATGGTGGATTTAGCCTTTGCAGGTACAAAACAAAAAAAGAGGTTTCTGGGCTACACGCTGCTTGGATAAAAGCATAGACCCACGATAGCTCCCAGAGCTGGTGGTAAACGTAGCCATGTTGGGAAGCTGAGGTGGGCGGGGCCAGCAGCCACAGCTGCTGCAGTTTAAAGCAATAGATTCACAATAAGACAGATTCAGATGTAATAGTTTACAATGTGTGTAAAATATACGTAGGCTTGAAAGAGACAAAAAAGGTGATATATACAGTTATATAAACAAATACATAGTTTTAAAAAATAAAGTCTTTAAAGAGACAGTAAAATTAATATAAAAAATAAGCCACGTGAAGATGAATATTACACAGAGAATCTGGATTGTGTTGTCTTTGGGATTTTTAACTGCAGAAAAACATTTGATTGTAAAAGCTGTTGAGTTATGCCAAAATGTATATTTTAAAGATACCTTGACTTCAAAATTTGGATATAAGGATATGTTGCTTTGGAAAAGAGTCTCTTTTGTTTCCACAGAAAGCCAGAGGCTATGGATTTATTCAAGATTAAGATACATCAGGTTTGACCAGCCAAGACCCCCTGAAAGGTCTCCGATGACACCATGGCCCAGATGATCCAACATCCAGAACGGTTTGAAGGCATCTGGATCAGACGATACAGCCTCATGGACTATTCCATAATTCTAAAATTTTCTTTGTGTCCCCATAAGATACAGCGCCCCCCTCCAGCAGGAAGTAGTAAGAGAAGCTACGCCCAAATTCCCAAATTATATGTAATTTTACTTTGTTAAGGTTGAAACCTTCCTTTTTGAAAAAAAAGGGGGGGGGGTGCTGTGGGATGGTCTGTATGGCAAATGTGTTGCTGATTGGTCAATAAATAAAACACTGATTGGCCATTGGCTAGGCAGGAAGTGTAGGCGGGACAAGGAGGAGAATAAAGCTGGGAAGTGGAAGGCTGAGTCAGAGAGACACTGCCAGCCACCATGATGAGAAACAGCATGTGAAGATGCCGGTAAGCCACGAGCCACATGGCAAGGTATAGATTAATAGAAATGGATTAATTTAAGCTGAAAGAACAGTTAGCAAGAAGCCTGCCACGGCCATACAGTTTATAACCAATATAAGTCTCTGTGTTTACTTGGTTGGGTCTGAGCTGCTGTGGGACTGGCAGGTGAGAGAGATTTGTCCTAACTGTGGGCCAGGCAGGAAAACTCAAGCTACAATGGTCTGTCAGGTCCTTTCTTGTCCTGAATTATTATGACCCTGACTCTCTTGCCTTCCTTTTTCCTTTCTGAACTCTTAGAATTACATTAAGTTCATGGGATAAACCAGGATCATCACTTTACCACATGATCCTTAATTTAACCACATCTACGTAGTCCTTTTTGTCATTTAAGATAACATATTCACAGGTTCTAAGGATTTAGACATGGATATCCAGGAGGGCCCTTTGTTGACACTCCAATCAATTGCCGTATACCCCTATAAGCCATCTCACAAGTGGCTGGAGGTGGTGGGGCAGCCCTTTAATCCCCGCATTCAAGAGGTAGAGGCAGGCTGATATCTAAGTTCAAAGTCAGCCTACTCTACTTATCAAGCCCCAGTCCAGCAAGGAATATACAGTGAGACCCTGTCTCAAAAAAAAAAAAAAAGAAAAGAAAAGAAAAACAATGACAACAAAACACCTCCCAAGTCTTCAAAACTCCCCTTTGTGGTTGGTATTATTAATATTCTCCATTTAAGGTTGGAGAAATTGCATCAAACAGAAGCCGACTTGCGCAAGGACAATGCTAATGCTAGGCAAGTGTCCTATGAACTGATCTACATCCCCAGCCCTATTTCCTACCCTTATTATTTTAAACGTTAACAAGTGCTGTGGGTGTAACTTGGTTTGTAAATCACTCACCTCAAATGACCAAGACCCTGGCTTACTAGGTATTTTGTTTTGTTTTGTTGGATACTTTTAGAGACTACATCTCACTATATAGACTGTACGGCCTCAAACTCTTAACAATCTTTCTGCCACTGTGTCCCTAGTGCTATGTATGTGCCACCATGCTGTTTGATCTCCAGTACTGCAGAGCAAAACAAAGCAATGATAGAAGAGGAAACGGTTATCTTTTATGAGAAAATACCCAAAGTAGACTTTAAATGCACTGTGGGTAGAAAAATGCAGGTAGTAAAAAGGCGTCCATTGAGCGGGGGCATGTTTCACACTGTCACATTTCCTTTTGGCAATCATTCATTCAATAAGCAGTATTCATTTAATAAGCAGTTTTATTTTGTTATGTTGGTTGGTTTGTTTTTAATCAATATTTTACTTTATTTTTTATTTGTTTGATTGTTTGAGGCAGAATCTAACCTCCAAAGCTGTCCTAAGGCACATTTCATTTAGCCCAAGTTTGCCTTAAACTCCAAATCACAGCCTTGTGAGTGCTGTGATTACAGGTGTGTGCCAGCTATCATGTCCAACTCTTAAGATATTTAACACCGAGCTTCAAAATTTTAAGGAAAACAAAATATATAACCCTGAAATATTTTACGTTGTTCTACCATTTGATTTCTCTTTGACATTGTATATTACATATTCCTCATAAAATATTTTTACTTAAAATCTGCTATTGATTACCATACTGAATTTCTTCCCAACAAAACTATGACCAAAAGTAGAAATTATTTCCCTGTGATGGCTATAAGGCTCCCATATATAAAAAGTCTTTTGAATTGAGTTATAATTGTAATTATGTATGTAAATTTCTAAAATATCACATTTTAGTATTATTATTATTACTAAACAAAAATGATTGGGCATGTAACTCCTATCAGAAGGATGGGGAAGGCACAGGCTACAGGATGTAGAGTTAAACAAGAGTCCTCTGAAAACAGAAATAAAACAAAGATTTCTCAGCCTCAATTGTTTTAACCTCAGCATTTAAAATATTGGCTAGTCTGTTTAACCTTAAGACTTCTGCACATGGGCAGCTTGTAAGAATCCTGACTTTTGAAGGCCATGCTTTCCTTTTGAGGGGTTGATAAAAG